TTTCACTGATTAGCGACATAAAATTGAGAAGCATTATCCGGCGCGAGGCAGTTTGAAATTTTAATTTTCTAGTTGAGAAATATACCATGTTCAATTATGTTTTGTAAAACGCGGTGCTTCTTTTTCCTATCGTTCCTATCTCAAATTTAAATATAGTACAAATCTAAATATATACTGTATTTTGAAATGTTTATTAAGAAGGGATCAAATGTAAAAAAAGTTACTAGATACACAGAAAGAATTGTAGTTAGAATTTAAATCTTGCAACAATTTGATTATAGCAAAAGACAATATAAACTATTTATTTTAATACAACTATACTTTTCCTAACGCTTACGTCAATCTACATATATATCTATGTATATCATGTAATACTTTGATTGTTAAAAATAACGCGAGCATATTATAGTTATAGATAAGTGTTCGAACAATAGTTTTGTGCATAAGAAAGTTAGACAAATTTGTAAATTAGTATAAATTTTTATTAATAAAATGAAGCAAGAGTGAATAAAATAGTTCAATTTAATAATAAGCTTATACATAAATAATCTATTAATGAGTAATCAACAAAATGTTCTGAAATTATTTCATAATATGGCTAAGCAATTAAATTGTGAATAAAACTTATAATTAAGTTGCATATAAATAAAATGATAAAGATAATATTCATTTAAACATATCGCACGCGTCAATTCGTCATGCACTAATTTTTATATGAAAAAATATCTACGAACATAACTGTAAAAACAAATGTCACATCACGTACGATGGTATACATGTATGAAAACTTTCTCTTTCTCTCTTTCTTTCTTTCTTTCTTCATTGTGCAAGCTGGCATATGTAATTGCTAAAGAGATTTCTTACTCCAAACAGGTTAGATTTTGCTAGGCTTCAAATATCAATATTATACGTGGGTATTTTTGCACATTTCCTTTTCTCATTTGAATCTTCTCAACTTATCGAATCTTAACAAAATTATTATGAAAAATGTTAATGATAAATATTACTTCGGTATAAGATTCCAATACTAGTTATTAATAGAAATCAAATAGTTCGAGAAATGATCTGGAATGATTTGTTTTATATTGATACAAAAATCATTAATTATTCAAATTTTAACTTGAGAAGGTTTATTTATTTCCAATTAAGGTAGGCATGACAATATATCGGTTTACAAACAATAGTGTTGAACTTTTAAAAGGTCTTCTTTTCATCGAGCATATGTTATAATGTTAATAATTTATTATCATTGTAATCATTTTTTTTCTTTATCCGCTTAAATCATTATTTTTCATAAAAATAAAGTTACGCTCTTTTTTATATTTTTTTTTTAATTTAAAATATTGCTATTTCCTGTAACTTTAAGAAAAAATTTGCATGTAAATTTAAGAAGTGCTTGTCATTTATTTAACAATAAAGCATAAAAATCTATCAGTAAGACGCAGTATTTTTTTCGTAACGTTCAAAACGATAAGAGCAGGTATTCAGGTCATACATAATTACCTCTTCATTTTGATGACAAAATGTAAATCTTGTAATAAGTTTGAAAATAATGTAAACAAGGAACACAGATAACTAAAAGAAAATATAATTTGTATTGTACAAGTACACCTATGCACTGTATAGAAATAATAATGTTGGAAAGACTTTCTACGATCGAAAAGGTGCAAAGTTTGTACGAGTGAAAGTAGAGATCTGAAAAGAGGAAATTAACTTGTCTTTATATCGCTTTTGTGTTGAGTTTCATACCAAGTTTTGAGTCATAAGAAAAAATTGATAATAGATCGAGTGATAGAATTAGGTCAATCACGCCAAAGATACCTATTTATTTCTTTTTTCTCATTAAAACAGTGATTTTTCTTATCCTTTTTTTCTTCACTGTACAACCTATATATTAAATCTTTTAATGTCATAGGCACTCTACTTCTTTCTATATAACCACCTGTACACACTTAAGAATGTTAATTTGGTGTTGAAATATTAAAATGAATATAATTGAATGTTTTCATGAAGACGATTTTTCAAATATCCTTAGTTCAACAAACTTTAGGAGAAAGTAACGACTAACAACGTCATTGGGTACACATTAATTATGTTTTAGCACTAATTCAAATAATGGATAGCTGATGTCCTTTTTACCAAAGTAAACATTATTTCGTACGTAAAACAATTGATTAAAGTATTGAATTTAACTACGATGTATAATTGCTACAAATGATGAAATAAATTGATCCTATTTAATAGCTACATATACTATATTTACATAATATATTTAAATTTAATAATATATACAATTGGAATTGAAAAAGTAATGAAGCAAACGAAAATCCGTGCATTAAGAAAAATGGTAATTATTAAACTTAACAGATGATTACTTACGAAAAGATATATTGTATACACATTTTAGAAAAGGGAGAGATTAAGACCTGTTTCTTACGCTCACCCCTTATGACTTACCCGATTCTGAACAGATGCGCGAGAATCGATCCCAAGGGAGGATTTCTGCGTGTCAAAGGAGTGTGCTCATTGTTAAACTAACGAAAGAAAGAAAGAGAAAAAAATACTGACCTTGAGTTTATCATAGGTCGTGTCAAGCTCAAGCCGATGAACGAAAGGATTGAGGAGATCAGCACTGAGGGATGCAGCGTCCACCTCTTCGTGTCTTTTCCCTATCCTCCCATTAATTTCCTCCATTTTCTTTTTCCTCGTGAATTTTACTTATACTGAATATTAAGCTAAAACGTTCTCAACGGTTCGTTTATTCGTCTTCCACCGGTCCTCGATAATTTCTGACACGATCAAGGGAAATAACGACGCGTCACTCTTCGTCACCGACGATTATTCTTCTTAACAGAGAAACAGACTGACAATGAGAAGTAACGCTTGTTTCTCGTAGGGAAGTGGGGGAAGGTCAAAAAAAGATATAAATGGATAAAGAGGGATAAAGATAGAAAGAAAGAAAAAGAGAGGAACAAAGAGAAGGGAAGAAATATAGATATACAGAAAAGAGAGAACGAAAAGTCGATGGTCAGTTACGAAGTAACACCGTCACACGCGTGTAGGGGTTGTCAGTTCACGACGTACTGTGCCTCGCCGCCCGTTTAATATCGTAAAAACGAATGACCAATCGCCGTGCACGTTTCCTTGTCCGACCACCACCGAGCTCTGACGAGTATTCTCGAATCATTAAATATGCGCGCGCATATCGGTCTAGAGAAATGCTTTCGCCCGTTTTCGGTAGCTATCCCTTTGGAACGCGAAAATACACGAGCGATCTTCGGAACGCTATTTTTTTTCTTTTTTAACAATGAGGGTGAATTTACGCTATTTCCCGTCTGCGTTGTGCAACGGAAATATGAATAAGGCTTTGATGCTATTAGTCCGTGCAATTTCTTCTTTTTTTCGACGATTGTTTTACTTTGATATATATAGAGACAACATTTCTATTTTATTTTTCATTTATATATATATATATATATATTTTTTTTTTTTAATGAAAATATAAAATTCGGTAAGTGAAGATCCCAATTATAATTAATTTTCTCAATGATCTCTCTTTGAATGATCCTTTATTGATATATATGAAGAAGTAAAAATAATTCATTTTTGATACCAATCGTTGTAAAATGGTGATGTATCTAATAGAATTTACGTTCGCATATATCTATGCACGTTAAAGATCAATAGTGCTTTCAAAGAGGAATCGTGCGCATCGTTCTTCTGAATTTATCCTTGTTATGTTGGTTTCGTGAATCAAAAATTACTAATTGAAATTACAAACGTGAAAATAGAATAAAATAAAAATTAACTCCTCCACTATAGTTATGAAATAGCACGAGATTATTTTTTTCAAATATTTAGATGAAATGTTGATAGTTTAAACGAATTTAAAGGAATTGAACTTTTCATGTAAATTGCTTAATTAAATACTATGTATCTCAACTACAATTATTTTGGATAATGTTAGTTATTTAGTATCATATCAGTTGTGTTATCAATTTTTACCGCATTTAAAAATGCTTACATGTAAAAGTTTATCTATAGAGATTTTGAATATACTTTTTTATTTTCTACTATTTTTTCATTTATAATTTAATGATATTGATTATTGGAATTTATTGTTGTTAGATTATTTTGATAAATAATTATGTAGAATAAAAGAACTTGTCTTCACGTTATTTTAATAAAATGTATATTTTATTATCTTAACATATATATGCACGGGAATATATATGATCGTTTAAATACCGTTACGTATTAAAATTTTGTCCTTGTCGAAAATGAATGTGAAATGTGTAGTTATTTTGTTTGTTTCGAATGAAAGAAATCGCATTAAATCATATTATTTAGCTTACCTAATTGAACATTTAAAATTGTCTCGATAATTTCGATATTACAATTTTTTATGAAAAATTTGGAATAATCGGAGTATGTCTATTATCGACATAAAGATTTATCCGTGATTAATAATATTCATGTTAAATTCGTTAGATTGCGATTACTCAATATGTTCCAACAATTGGAAATGATGTAATCTGTGAATTTTCGTACGTTAGCTGGCTCGTTAAAAACGTCTTAATTATTACGACTTAGAACTAGTATGCACTATACACTTTAATGATACATTGTTCGAAGATGATGCGCTTTCTGTATTTAATACTAAATATAATTGCATATAATGAAATCATTCATTTAATCCTTACGATAATTATATCTTTCAAAAAGAATCAAACAAAAAATCATCATATTTAATATAGATAAATAAAGAAATTCTTTTTTAAGAATACAATTGCACATATACCGTTTCGTCTGTAGTTTCTTGTCTCATTCGCAGATGGTATAGTCAGTGATTACTCAACTAACAATCGATATATGTATGCAGTGTATAATTTTGTTCATTTAACATTAAAAAAAAAAAATAAAATTTCATATCGAATAAATCAAAGTTTTTTATAAATAAAATGTAAGTTGCGTAAGATGTTCTATTTTTATTTGTACAAAATATGAATATAAATGATAAAAGTAAATTTCCCACAAGCATCCTATACAAGAAATCAATTTGAACTACAGGCTCCATCAGTATTGAGCGGTTAGTGAAGTAGTCGACTTAACCTATAAAAACATTATGGCGAAAGAATTGCATATGAGTCTAATAAATTACTTTTTGCATCTGAAAGAATTAGACGAAAAATGGCTGGAATTATTCAAAACTGCGGAACGACCGTTGCAAGCTTTAAAAAATCAATGCGAACAATTACGCCTTGTTTCGAGGTAAATTTTCATCATTTATTCTTTCACATTATCAGATTTAGGAAAATATTTGACGATAATTCTCAAGTAAAAATTCACATGGAGTTAATTGAATAATATCTTTAAAGATGTCGCTTTTTTACAGCAAAGATGTCGATAATGAAGGAATTTGTATGATCGATTACGCGCGAGAGAAACTTATTTATAAAATTTTCATGGGTATAGAAAATGAGATTTCACTTTTATTAGATTTATTGAAGTCTTTTAAAAATACTTTTCAGGTAGTCATTTCAAAAATTTGGTAAACATTCTTTAAAATAGATTAATTTATCGACGAACAATCGAATGTTGCGAATTATTTGATAAATATGCAATATATTTCGTATTATTTCAGGATTTAAAAAATCGATTAAACAATTTGGAAAAATTTCGGAGTAATGTTTCGTTAAGTGATGAAGATATGAAAGATATCGTAAATGGAACACCTAATCGGCCAAAATTAAATTTACTTTTAGAATGGGCTATCGATGGTTTTCAATATTATCACGAATTGTATCCTTTAAAATAATATTATTAAAATGATTTTATTTTCAGAGTTATAGTTTAGAGTAATTTATATCATATAAACAATACTTCATAAGTAATGATTTTTATTTTATACTAATCATCTTATTATAATTTCTTATCTACGAAGTATAGATTTCAACGTGTTGAGAATAGTATAAAAAATATGGATTATAGAATTGAAGAATCAGTTAATATATTTGCCAATTCCTTTGTAGAAAATCGATATAAACGAAATAAATTCAATAGTAAGATTTTCTATATAATTTCATCTAATAATCTAACGTATTATATTATAAGACTTATCTATGGATTGTTTCAGGGATACTAGCATTTACTCAATTCTTAATTATAGAAAAGGTTTAATAAAATCTTTTAAACAGTTTGTACTTTTTTATTATATTCATTTTTCATTCCTATTTATATATATCCTATAAAGATTTTAGGAGATAATCGAAATTACCAAAAATGGCGCCATGAATTTGGTAAATGTTCAAATTATTTCCCAAATTCGTCTTTAAGATCGATTGTCCTAACGAACTATAATTTTCAAATAAAATTTATGTTAAAGTATAAATTAGATTTTTAACACATTTGTTACTGGTGTTATTGATTTTAATTTTAACTAAAAATAATGAATAGATTTTATGTGTCTATATTATAGTACTTAAAATATTTAATATACCAATGTACTCAAATATACGTCATAATGACTTTAACGACTTAAAAAAGACAAGCCGTTTTGTGATCTTTTAAAGTATTAAATTCAGTTTCTATGTTTTCGAGTTGCAGAATATCATCATTTTTTAGAACTGTGACAATAAGACTAAAAAAGGGTGTTGAGCTTTCTAATGATCAACCAATCAGCTTACGGTTACGAAATACACATATTTTAGATCGGAGTGTTTTGCGAAAGCGTCGGGGCGCCGGCGCCTGCTATTGATTCCGGTTTATATCGTGATTTCAAAAGTTACCATCGTGGTAGAGGGTGCCACAGTAGCCAACTCTTCCTCGTACTCAAAGGAGACCCTCGCGCTTTTCTTCGTTTCACCCTTACAGGTCAGTGGTGAACTTGCGACGATAGTTTTCGTCGGAATACCAATTCATTTTTTTTTTATATTAATCATTTGTGTTTGCAACATGAGAGTATGTTATTATATCAAATATTTTAATTAATATTTTAATCGTTATAATGGAAACACTATTTTATAGAGGCATTCGCGAACAAATATATAATTTTTTTAAATGGGTAGCATTGTAGATATTACAAATGATAAAAATTCATTGAATACCGAAACTATATGGTCATTTTTGAGAAATTTGCTTATTGTCTCCAATGTAAATGACGTCAGTGGTGTACTGATAAAAGCTTGTATCACCTGTAAAGGATTGGCGCCTCGGAAATTATAGGTATACTATCGATAATTTATTGTTTCTAAAACATATCACATAAATACCTGTTCGTGATAAGAATAATAATTGTACAACCTAGTTTTCCTACTAGATAAATAATTATTTGCAATCTTTCAAATTTTAAGTAAAAAATTTGCCTTTTTCTCAGACGATTTTCTACATATGGTGCGAAATATCTACATATGTTATTTATAAGAAGATAATAATTTTTATAAATGTTTCTATTAATTAAACGTTTTTCTTCTAATCTTTCTTTCTAATCTTCTGATTAATTTTTATGATTTTTTGTGATATTTTATATATACATATACACCTATCCCTCGATTTACACGGAAGATCAATTCCTCAAAATACCGTGTTAATTGAAATCGGTTTTTTTTTATATATAAATCGTGTACATCGAAAATACACTAAAATATGCATTATTTTTTAAATTAAAAATTTGATCTTTGAATCATTAATGTCTTTTTTCTATTTTCAACTTCAATATCTCTTATGTATGAAGCTGTGCTTATGTTCGTACAAGTTCCAGCTGCTACACTTTTCCTAACAAAGTATTAATTATTTCTTACAGTTTTTATTGTGGCTTCATTAATAAAATATAATTTAGTAACTTTTATTACTTTTTTCGTTATGTTTACGTAGACTTAAAATTTGAATTTTGGTTTCTAAATATATTACTTTTCTTTTCACTTGTTTTTTTTTTGTAATTTCTCTCGATGTGATATAGTCTATAAAATTTCAAATTAATTATAGAAATGCTACAAAAACTATAATTGTTTATCACTAACTGATAAATATACACAATTAAAAAATTCAGTAAGAAAAAGCATATCGATATATATCTTTCTTCTGCTAAAGATCTACTGAGAGATTTATTGTGCAAATTTATATGAATAGTTTTCGTGTGTATACAAAAAAGAGAAATTTCTTTTTTTAGAATTAATGCCAATATTATTAATTAAATGGATTTAAGAATAGACTGTGAAAATATGTGTACAATAAAAATGTTTATTTTTAACAATGTTATTTTTTAAATTCGTTATTTTAAAAATAGTATGAATAAGGTATCGTGTAAATAGAGTTATAGGTTTATATACATATGTAAAAATTTTATAATTTAATAGAGCTACAATTTAATCGTAAAATATTATTTCGATTTTTTTCTAGTGAACAATGTAATAATTTTTCTTTGAGACTATTATATAAAAGAATCTGTCAATAATTTTTTTGTGAGTAAGATATATAAGTATATAATATGTAACATATGAATATATAAGGATCTATATGATTCATGTATTTTCTTTGCTTGGTTATAATACATATACATATATATTTAACCATGTGGGATATATGTTATTAATCTTTCGTGTTTGTCGCATGACACTTCGTTCTATAATGTATATGTTACGAATAAAATTAATGACGTAATTTCGCATTTTATATCATTTTTAATATTCAAATTAATGTAGAGTCGCATATAATTATCTGCTAAACATATCCAAATTGCCGACGATCAAAGGGAAAGTTTATGAGAAAGATATCCAATTTTATTAGTACATTAATAAAAAGCTTGTGTAATTTGTAAAAATTTAATTAAAATTTCCGCGTAAAAAACCTTAGCGATGTGATCGTAAACTTTCAATGTATAGTTGTACAGTCTAAGAAATAATAAAGAATAATAGAGTAAAACTTTTATATAGTTTTCAATGGATCGAGATATATAAATTAAATTTTTTCATGGTAGGATGGAGTCCGTAGGTACGTGTGGAATATTAGTTCGATCCTCGTAATATAATAACGATCAAAGGATAACTGGACCTGGCAAAAAAAAATAAAAAAGACTGAAAAGAAAAAACGAAATAAAATGGCAAACACGGCACATCTAGTTCGTCGTCAAAGTTCTCGGGATTTAAAACCACAAAAGAATGTCGATAAACTGGAAATGAAAGAGATGAGAGGTAGATTAGTTGTGGACAATCGTAAAAATATTACCAGTGTCAATTACGGAGCTACGAACGCAGCCTTTGATGATTCCAGTCCAAATAAAAAAGTATATTGTACTTTTATTATATTCTTCTTTTAAAAACCTTTTTATTGTATTTAATTAATTTTGTAGTGTATATGTTTTGCTTTTTTTAAGGTCACTTTATTTATGTTCATTAATTCCTATATTTATTGCAGAGTAAGCCGGTGAACGAAGGTGGGGGTAGTAAATTAGGCAGTAACGAGGGTAAAGGAATTTTTCGACCAGAAGCTGGCGAGGATGAACGTGAAAATTGGGATAGCAAGCTCACGTTTCTTTTGGCTACTGTCGGTTATGCCGTTGGTCTCGGAAATGTATGGAGATTTCCTTATTTGGCACAAAAAAATGGCGGTGGTACGTTTACTAAATTATACATAATTTTATATTATTATTATTAAACTATATTAGTTCAAACGGAAGATGTAAATATTATATATAGGCGTAAGTTTATAACTATATCATTTACATCTATCTCTTTTATTTCGGAGAATATCTTATACAACGAGGACAAGTGTTTCAATTAACGATGATGTAGGTAATATCGAGAGGCATAGATATATATTTTGTATGAATATTTATTACAAAAAATTGAACTGTAGTTAATGGTATATTAAATGTTCGATGATTATAATATGTACATTAATCGGTCTATTTTATTACAGGAGCATTTCTGATACCCTACTTCGTTATGCTAGCTATCGAGGGTATTCCAATATTTTACCTTGAATTGGCTATTGGCCAAAGATTAAGAAAAGGAGCCATCGGTGTTTGGAATCAGGTGATTTTAAAACATAATATTGAAATATTTACACGGTCAGTCAACAGGTGTCAAAACAAATTCGACTTATATGGTAATAATTTATATGTAATTCTGTTGTTGTTATATAGGTTTCACCATATATGGCTGGCATCGGAGTTAGTAGTGCTGTCGTTTCTTTTAATGTAGCCCTTTATTACAATACTATTATCGCTTGGTGCCTCTTTTATTTTGTCCAGGTGAGCCATGAAGTTATTTAGCATTTTGCGTGGACTTTTAAATCAATACAAGATCGTCTTTTTTTAAGAGTTTTCAATCTCAACTACCTTGGGCCGAATGTCCGAATAAATATTTTCAAAATGGATCTTATGCGCCGGAGCCAGAGTGCTTGGTAAGTATCATTTGTCTTTATCGGAGAAATCACAGGTTTCGTAGAAATCTGTGGATGTTATTTTTATAAGAATGTGAAAAATAGATTTTAATTTATGTCAATCTATAGCAAAGTAGCCCAACTCAATATTTTTGGTATCGGACGACTCTGATGATATCTAAAGATATTAATACACCGGAAGTATTTAATTGGAAGATTGCATTGGCTCTAATTATCGCTTGGATATTGGTTTACATGTGTATGATCAAGGGAATTGCATCTTCAGGCAAGGTATTTGATTTTAATTTTATAATTTGAGGGCGATAATGGCCACAGGCGCATTTGGGGGGAGGGCTCTTTTTTTGTTACTAAAAAAAAAGAAGGAAAGCCAATATTTTTTCTGGAAAGGGGGCGATAGGATAAAAAAGTTTAAGAATTACTGATTTATATAAATTATAAGATAAAATTGTATTATTTCTATATTTATTACTTTTAACAGGTCGTTTACGTTACCGCTACCTTTCCATATATCGTATTAATTATCTTCTTCTTTCGAGGAGTCACTTTACCGGGAATGTCAGATGGATTACGGCATCTCTTTACACCGAAGGTACATTTAACGATTATTTGAATAATATCGACAATTTTCAAGATAATAAATTGAAATTTGATCTGCCATTGCCAGTGGTGGACTCTTACAGACCCAGTAGTATGGTTGGAAGCTGGTACTCAAATATTCTTTTCTCTTGGCTTGGCATTTGGAGGTTTAATAGCCTTTTCCTCCTACAATCCAGTTAACAATAATTGTTATCGCGATGCGATAATGGTCAGCTTTACAAATTGCTTTACCTCTATGTTTGCTGGGATAGTTGTTTTCTCCATTATAGGTAAACATTCAAGAAAACATGATGAATAATCAATAGATATTTTAAAACTATTATAATAACAGGATTTAAGGCCACTATGGTTTACGAAGAATGTTTGGCAGAACGAAATTTGATGTTAATAAATATTTTCGGTGCCGACGACAAAATACCTGATTTTATTCCTGATGCAAATACTTTACTTAATATCACGTCTGGCAATGGTTCTTTGGACAATTTAGTAATGCCAAAATTACCCGTATGCGATTTAGAAAAAGAATTAGATAATGTGAGTATTATATTTATCTAATTCATATTTTTTATTTATTGTGTATGCATCTACAGATTAGGGCAATAATTCTGTCCACCTTGAATATCTACTTGTTAACAATCGAATTAAAAATTTTCAGAGTGCAAAAGTTATACTAATGCGAGGTGGTGGGGGGTGGGGATCTAATAGTTGAAAGAATTTTTTCTCACGGTCATTTTTTTACGAGATTTCAAATGGTTTTTAAATGGATTTTAGTGGATTTTAAATGAAACTATATATATTTTTGTGATATTTTTATAGAGTGTGAAAAAACGATTAAAAATTATCTGCATGACCATATTTTTTAGATCATTTATTCTAGAGATATTTACATTTTAATATTACTCTATTCACCTTGAATATCTCTGTTATTTGTAATAATATGAAAAAATATATGATATAGAATTTGCATAGCATAGAGGGGGCTAAAATAATAGGTTATCTCATTTAAAAAAATGATAATGACTTTGAAATCTTCTTTACACCTCTATCTACGTAAAAGAAATAGGCATCATAATATATCCCCCCTCTATTTCATACAAGTTCTGTACTAAATATTTTTTTATATTATTACAAATAACAGAGATTTTCAAAGTGAACTGAGTTATTATCGCATCCTGTATATGTTATATTTATTTCACAGTCTGCATCAGGTACTGGTTTAGCATTCATCATTTTCACTGAGGCGATTAATCAATTTCCTGGTGCTCAATTTTGGTCTATCTTATTTTTTTTGATGTTATTTACGTTGGGTATCGATTCCCAGTTTGGTACTCTCGAAGGCGTTGTCACAAGCATTGTTGACATGAAGCTTTTTCCCAATTTACGGAAAGAAATTTTAACAGGTTTGTTATATGATTAAAAATAAAATAAAATAAAATAAGAGGGAAGATATTATTTTTTATTGAATACTATTATTAAGTAATTAAATCTTTTCATTTTTTGTATTAGGTGGAATTTGTTTGGTATGTTGTGTCATTTCAATGGCTTTCGCTCATGGTGCTGGCAGTTACGTCTTTGTGCTTTTTGACAATTTCAGTGGAAATTTTCCATTATTGATTATCGCATTTTTCGAATGTATTGGAGTATCTTATGTATATGGATTGAAGAGGTATATTAATCAGCTATTTTTTATTCAGTTGTTTGTTATAATAATGATAATAGTAAAGATGATTCGTCATAGGTTTGCCGATGATATAGAATTAATGACGGGTAATCGTCCAGGACTTTATTGGTTGATTTGTTGGAAATATCTTAGTCCTTTGGCGATGTTAAGTATTTTGATTGCTTCATTCATTGAAATTATTGTGGAAGGAAGCGGATATCCTGCATGGGTTTCAAACTTGGGTACAACGGAGAGACACGAATGGCCAGTATGGGCTCTCATCCTTATTGGTATTCTTATTCTTGCATCTGTTCTTTGGATACCTGTAGTTGCCATTTGCAGGTACTGTTTAATATCTATGATATAAGGTATCCCAAAAGTCGTTTTATCGAAAGAAAAAATATAACACAAATAATTATTAATAAAATTTATAAATAAAAATCTTTCGTTGTTCTTTTTAAGATATTAATCTTCAGTTACAATGTTGTTAACAAAGTATAAAATGCTATTCCAAATATCAGTAAAAAAATAATTTATAATTTTTTAGTACATTTAAACGACTTTTAGAACGCCTCGTAAATCTCATTATCAGTTAATTATTTTATAAAACTTTATTGATTATTATTTTATTTTATTTGTATGTTAGATATTTTGGTATTTTCATCATTGATGACAATGAAAAAGCCTGGTTCCCTGCAGCAGATCTAAAAGAATTTCACGGAATCGTACCCCATGAAGTTACTGCCGCTGAAACACTATTGTTCTGCATAAGAAGTGATGGTACAGAAGGATTATGTTGTCCGACAGGTGGTCCTAGCGATGATGACGAGGATCTCACCTAGGAAAGGTCTTACTTATTTATTTCATATTAAATACGTGTTTGATTGCTTTTTAACTCGAGAAACAGTTGCTTCTGCTAACAAAAATAATTAATGTTATTAATATTTTTGTTTAATCGATTTCATTACGATTTCAAAGTATTTTTTAATTACTATCATTACTAATTATATTTAATTGTCAAATTTATCGAGTCAATTAATCTGAAAATAATAGGAGGTATTGCATTTCGTGAGTAATAATACTATACGAATGCTTTTATGAAATTTTATTATTATTGTTTCTCATAATTTTAAACAACATTATTAAAGTCCTCAAGTGTGTCAATATTAGTCAAGAGAGAAAAAAAAGGAAACCCGTTCAAAGTTGTGGAAATTTACAAAAATTAGATATTAGGTAAGGAAACATACATTACTAATATTATTAGTAGCAAAAAATGGGTATGAATCGTTATTTTGCTTTATCCGTTAAACAAATATGTTTAATAATAAATGAATATTATATAATGGATTAATAATAACGGATAAATGAAAGGAAATTCGAATTTCATGAGAGAATATTATCGCGACTTTATTTTTCGTACGTCGAATGTATTGCTATTATGCTTAGCATTGTCTTCGACGTGTAAATTTCTATTTACATATTATGAAAGGAACGTATTATATCGAAATGCGATGCAATTTACAAGTTTTTAAAATATCTTACTATCTTTTTCTCGTGCGTATTATTATTATTTATACCAGATAATATTTGTCAATGATATACGATTTTATATTCTAAATTATTGATAAAAAATTATTATTGTAATATTTTTGTGTATTCTATCTATAAAAAAAATTGAAAAATATAAATTGAAAGCTTTTAAATACTACTATTGCTTTACATTAAAGTAAACGTATTAAAATTAAAAAGCATCGTATTCCGAAAACGGATATTTGAGATTGATCGTAAATACAAATGCTAGTGGAAAGATCATAAACATATTAGCATGTAATAATGGTATGTCGTTTATAGAGAACCTGTTATATATTTAGATATATTCACAAAAGTTATTCCGGAAATTTGTGGTATATTGACAATAAATATCAGCAATTGCAATTAATGTGAGATTTAAGATTAGAGTAGGAGCCGTCCATTTAATAAGTTAGTAAGAGACGTCTCCCAACTTTTCATTCTTCATTTTGATGTTTTCCTAAAACTTTAAACAATGCTACTTATAATTTTAGCCGATTCTTTATTCTGCCTATCCTGACTATTTCTAATAAATTTTTATACAAGGTTCTATCGATAATATTTAACGTTATATTAAAACAAATCTGATTTTAATAGATATATAAAAGAAGTTTTATGATAGAAAATTACGTTCTTTTATTATAGTAAATATTTGTTTTACTTGAAGAAGCGGAAATCAAAAGGTACAAATTACTGTCGTTTACTTTTCAAACGATGGCTAGAAATATCTACGTTCTTTAATGATCAAGGTATGTGTTTCATCTGTTTAATTTACAATATGACTCAAACGATAAGACAAAGTTTCATTAATAATATGTCTGGATGGCAGGAAGAATTGATCGGCAGAATTGGTAGCTTTATCACATTGAAAGTATGTCAATAGTGATAGAAATGAAAATGGAAACAACTGGCATATCGTAATGGCACATTTACTATGTGTCCAATGTACCTATAATCAAATTTATTCATGATTTTAATGTAATTCGTCAGTCGTAATTCTAAGACTTAAAGACAATACAAAATGATATAATGCCTCGATGAGGGATTTATGATGACAATAACAAAATTTAATCGTAATTATTGATGGAGATGTGACGACAATGTATTAACGTATCATGATATTTACGTCAAAATAATTTAGAGGGTAGTTTCGTTAGATATGTTGTAATATTATTTTTAATACAATATTAGAAATGTTGAAATATGAAGACTGTTCCGATTGAGATTATATTTAGAAAAAATTAAAAGAAACAAATATAGGAATTGTTTTTTTTCTTAATCAAAATAACTTATTGAGATAATTTACTTTAGAATGTTTTTATTTATTACAAATAGAAGAGAAAGCTACAGAAGAAACCTAGTAAAGTAATTAGTTAACAAATACACGTACAATATTTTCCAGACAATAGAAGAAAATGAGTAGAGATTGTAATCACTCGACATAGGCTCATAACTAATAATTAATTTAGGTTAATTATATTTATTTTGTTCTTCGTAGAATGTTTTTTCACATAGCTCATATTTACTTTATTAATACTAAGGTGCTAAACTATAATATAAGGACGATTAAATTAAAAATCGATAACGACAATTCTATGTATACACATACAGTAACGTTTACTTGTTAAGAAATCTATAAGAAGCTGTCGATTGCTTTGACAATAATTCCGTTGCCTTGAATGGTATAGCGATTTACAAATACTTATGCTGGGTTTATTCTTGTTAATATAATGTATATAATTATTGATATTGTCTATAAGAATTTTATCGACGATAAGGTATCTGTATACTGACACACGAATGCGTTTAACAAAAAAAGAATTAATTCCCTGAGATTCGAATCATGACAAACCTATATATTTATATTGGATTATTTCGTAATAATTCGTTAAAAGATTTATTCGATAAATTCATTAGATTTGAGGAAATAATAGCAATGATATATTTATATTAAACGTACAAATATTATAGACAATAATATTTTAGATCTCATATCGTTTGAATTTCTCATATCAGTAATAGTAGGAAATAAAAGTTATGGAGAAATCGGCATTAATAAATAAAAATGAATACGTATCATGAAATCATATCATGTTTTACGAATGAAAAATATAAACAAGAATTTGATTAAATTTACTTAAATTAAATTTAATTTAATTTAATTGAGGTAATTAATTTAATAAATTACAATATATTAATTTTTTTTTAAAT